AACTAAAAATCACACTTGATGATAAATGCACGATATTGGAAGATATTAATAAAAACTGGTGGCACTGTGGTTTTTGTGTCTACTTTGAATCTCTTCTTCAGTGATTATATTAGTATACAGTCTGATCCTCTGCTATGGAAAACAACTCACTACATGTACGAGTTTAAATTAAATTGATTGTTTGAATGATTACGATGACGTGGATCTGTCAGTAAAGTTTGATATTGAGGTACATAAAAAGTGTGAGAGATAGTATTATACATTCTGGCTTCAATTCACCACTTCACTGTCTATGTCACCAATTTCCCCTGCTTCTAAAATGAACATACGTCTGGGTCGATGTTTGCTTACTGGTGTGCACATTTTACCGCCAGGTTTGTTTTTATAGATAGCAGACTTTGTGTGGGAAATGGCGTCCGCCAATTTCAGGCCCTGTTTTGTGCGTAAGCAATGGTTATGAAAGAGACCTCAGACCCTTTTACAACCAGCATAATTTCCATAAAAAGTTACCAATGCAAGGATGATCCTCTTAACTTCAATTTAATCATGTTCTTCTTCATCAATGGATGGATTAACTTTATGTTTATAGGAAGAATATGCGACTTTTTGATCCAGTAGATGTCGCCCTTGTGCACCAGCATGAAACCAAAACAACTCGCACTGCATTGTTGTGTTAGCATGCTAATGCTAGCGTTTGCTCATACCTTCACACTGCATGTAAATTTTCACGAAATGAACGTGATCTAAAAACGCTTACGTAACATTCAGTTAAGCAGTGAGTACAGTATGTTATTCTTCTTTTCTCTAGTCCCTCAATTAAACAACTTTTATACGCGAGGGGAGGAGCTGGACAAGTTTTTTTCAGAGGACATACTGGATTTTTTCTACATTTAAGTGTAAAATGTTGCATATTCAGCCTTTAGTATTGCTTTCTCACAACATAAATTACTGACTGAATAAACAGGTGGTACAATACCATACAATACCGTACAAAAAACAATGTTGTTTGTAGTTGAATTTCAGTTCAGGGTTACAATCTCAATAGTCCAGAGTATAAAGAGAGGCTAGGGATAAAACCCCGAGACTCTATCGGATTACCTCATGTCCATATCAGTCCATCTCAAAAATGGAGAAGGTTTAAAATTGATTAAAAAGTCACTCTCATGATTCTTTGCAAAGATTGATTGTGCAACAAAGACCTGACTCCCTTACCACCAGTAACATATCCATGAAAAGTAACAGATCAGAAGATGAACCTCTTAACTTTAGTGACGGAGAATTTTGGTTGGATATTAAGTCGTGTTTATACTTCATTCAGATAGTTTGTAGAAAAGTAAATCACTGAAACAATTTTGTGTTACAGACCACTGGTGCCAGAAAGACCAGACTCTCCATCACTGAGCGGTGTTTCCATGAAAAGTGACCGGTCCAAAGATGATCCTCTCAACTTCAATAAAGGGGAATTTGGGTAAGATATTAAGTCATGTTTATTCTTCATTAAGAAGGTTTATATAAAATGAAATCACTGAAACAATTTTGTGTTAAAGGCCATTGTGCCAGAAAGACCAGACTCTCCATCACCCAGCGGCATTTCCATGAAAAGTGACCGGTCCAGAGATGATCCTCTCAACTTCAATAAAGGGGAATTTGGTAAGATATTAAGTCATGTTTATTCTTCATTAAGAAGGTTTATATAAAATGAAATCACTGAAACAATTTTGTGTTAAAGGCCATTGGTGCCAGAAAGACCAGACTCTCCATCACCCAGCGGCATTTCCATGAAAAGTGACGGTCCAGAGATGATCCTCTCAACTTCAATAAAGGGAATTTGGGTAAGATATTAAGTCATGTTTATTCTTCATTAAGAAGGTTTATATAAAATGAAATCACTGAAACAATTTTGTGTTAAAGGCCATTGGTGCCAGAAAGACCAGACTCTCCATCACCCAGCGGCATTTCCATGAAAAGTGACCGGTCCAGAGATGATCCTCTCAACTTCAATAAAGGGGAATTTGGGTAAGATATTAAGTCATGTTTATTCTTCATTAAGAAGGTTTATATAAAATGAAATCACTGAAACAATTTTGTGTTAAAGGCCATTGGTGCCAGAAAGACCAGACTCTCCATCACCCAGCGGCATTTCCATGAAAAGTGACCGGTCCAGAGATGATCCTCTCAACTTCAATAAAGGGGAATTTGGGTAAGATATTAAGTCATGTTTATTCTTCATTAAGAAGGTTTATATAAAATGAAATCACTGAAACAATTTTGTGTTAAAGGCCATTGGTGCCAGAAAGACCAGACTCTCCATCACTGAGCGACATTTCCATGAAAAGTGACCGGTCCAGAGATGATCCTCTCAACTTCAATAAAGGGGAATTTGGGTAAGATATTAAGTCATGTTTATTCTTCATTAAGAAGGTTTATATAAAATGAAATCACTGAAACAATTTTGTGTTAAAGGCCATTGGTGCCAGAAAGACCAGACTCTCCATCACCCAGCGGCATTTCATGAAAAGTGACCGGTCCAGAGATGATCCTCTCAACTTCAATAAAGGGGAATTTGGGTAAGATATTAAGTCATGTTTATTCTTCATTAAGAAGGTTTATATAAAATGAAATCACTGAAACAATTTTGTGTTAAAGGCCATTGGTGCCAGAAAGACCAGACTCTCCATCACCCAGCGGCATTTCCATGAAAAGTGACCGGTCCAGAGATGATCCTCTCAACTTCAATAAAGGGGAATTTGGGTAAGATATTAAGTCATGTTTATTCTTCATTAAGAAGGTTTATATAAAATGAAATCACTAAAATAATTTTGTGTTACAGACCACTGGTGCCAGAAAGACCAGACTCTCCATCACCCAGCGGTGTTTCCATGAAGAGTGACCAGTCCAGAGAGGATCCTCTCAACTTCGATAAAGAAGGGGCATCTCCAATCAGAAATAAAGAACGTGGTAAGATATTTAGTTGAATCCAATTTCAATTCCTTTGATGCAGAAACATAATGATCATATGACTGTTAAATCACTGGAATAGTAACTTTTTACCATTTGTGCATACTGGCATCCCATTGTTCAGTAACATTGATGGTGCCATGGAAGATAGAGATATGCTCATTAAACACATTCAGAAAGAAAGAGACTTACAAACAAACAACAACAAACGTTTTTTTCTGCCTGCCATAAACAATGTGTGTAGTGAAGTATGTCAGGTGTTTCCCAAATTATTTAAATTGTTCAGAGTCGTGACAGATTTATTGGAGATATGTTTTTTACAGTGATAAAGAAATGTTTTTAGATGTTAGATTGCCTGAAATAATTTAAATCTGTTCATTTGAATTCACCAAAGCAGACACTTGAATGTAACTAAAATAGCTTTACGTTTATCTTTTCAGAATAAGTAATTCAAAACAAAAATAAATAAACGTATTATAAAGTTCATGGTTGTTTAAAAAAAAAGCCAAATCTAGATAATACTTCCTGTGTTGTGCCATTATTAATAGGAAGAATGTGTGAGTTTTTGATACAGTAGATATCGAAACCAAAACAAACTGCTGTTTGAGCACACCTCCGCCAGACTTATGCCTCCGCTCTCCTCCAGCGACACACCTCCAACCCCCATCCACTCACGTAGGCATGAAGGAGTTTAGTGGAAGGGGCAGACTGCCTGTGGCCTGCATTGTACTGTTAGGCTAATGTTGGCACACTTTAGTTAGCTTGTAGCGTCACATTGAATGTCAATTGACACGGAATGGCCGTGATCTGAAAACACTTGCGTGACATTTGAAATACGCAGTGAGCATGTTATTCTTCTTTTCTCTATTTCTTGACTAAAACTACTTTTATACTCAAGGAGAGGAGTCGGCCGTCACGTCCATGTAAACCTGATGTAAACACGGCTCTGACAACAACACAGCCAACGGGACTCGCTCTTCTCCCTCATTGTAGACAGTCATGTCTCAGAGACATTTACATAGGACATGCATGATTTCTGCTATATTTATATGTTAAATGTTGCACATTCTTCCTTTTATCTAGCTTTCAATATTCAAGATGGTCACTTTTACTGTGCCTATAGATAAGTGATTCAGGGCTGAATCCGACCTTTATGATTAATAATATGTTGAATTTGTTTTGTTTATGCAGAGACAGCAGAGCAACAGAAGAAGCTGATATCGACCATCAAAGAAAACTGTAGAAAAACTCTTCAAGATGGAGACAAAAATCATCCTAACCAGCTCACACAGAACACGTCATGAGAGAAGACAAAAGTCCTAAAAATTTACTGAAGTGAAATCACTAAAAGATATCTTCGAAGATAATAAGGGACAACCAATCAAAACAGTGCTGACTGTTGGAGAGTCTGGTATTGGAAAATCCCACCATGTGCAGAAATTCATTAAAGAGTGGTCTAAAGATGGTTTTGTAGCACAGCCAAAAATAGAGTTATTTTTCTACTTGACATCTCAAAGCTTAACTCATTTAAAGAGGAGAAATTGTCTTTAATCGAACTTCTTCATAATTTCTACCCGGAAATGAATGAATGTAAAATCTCTCACTTTGAACAGTTCAAAGTTCTGTTTGTCCTGGATGGATTGGATGCTTTTCAAACAGCTCTTGACTTTGACAACAAGGACACCGTGACTGATGTGAGGGAATCAGCTTCAGTAAATGTGTTACTGACAAACCTCATCAGAGGATCTCTGCTTCCTTCTGCACGGATCTGGATAACCTCCCAACCTTTAGCTGCCAATCAGTTGCCTGACAAACTGTGTTGACAGGAGGACAGAAATAAGATGTAAGCTTATATGCTCTATGAATATAGAATGTTGAATCAAACAGTGGAAACTTTAATCAGCTTTACAATAATAAAGATTTGCAAAAAAATATTGCAATTTCATAATGGATGCCAATCTCTTGTAATTTTAGATTGCAAATTTGTTTCACTGCATTCTGATTTCTTTGTTTTGTCTTTTTCCTTTCTTTAGACAACATCAAAAAAAACTCACCGCAGAGCTGAAGAAGAGAATCCTCAGTCGGCATGAAAGAGAACTGAAAAGATTTAAAACTGACACAGAACTCCATGAGATTCATGAGCCTGAAGACAAGAAGAGAAAAAAAATATCTGGGAAGCATCTTTTCCAGGCTTACAGAAAAAAGGTGGGCAAACAGTACTTACAAAGGGAGTTGCTCATGTCGGTAAAACGTACCAAGCACAGAGGTCCATGGTACACTGGGCGAAGGGAACATCCAATAAAAACATAGACTTTGTTGTACCAATTCATTTCCGTGAACTGAATTCAAGAAGAGAAAAAGTTCAAAACATGAACGATCTGCTCCATCATTTCCTCAATCCTGATAAACACCCAGGAGTTTGCAATTATGATGAGTGTGAAGTACTTTTTGTTCTTGATGGACTGGAAGAATGTAAACTTCCCCTGGATTTTGAAAAGAACAAGGACCTGACTGATATGGAAGAAACAGCCTCGATGGATGTGCTGCTAACAAACCTCATCAAGAGGAATTTGCTTCCCTCTGCTCATATCTGGATCATCTCTCGACCTTCAGCAGCTGACAAAATCCCCTCCGAATACATCCAGAAAGTGACAGAATGTCGAGGTATGAAACTATGACTAACAAATTTTACCACTAAAACCTGTTTCAGTAATCTGTATCCTGTGTTCATTATTTTTGTTTGTGTGTTGATTTTAATTTTGAAAAGGAAATACTAAAGCTCAAGCTATACCTGTGTTAGAACCCTATACTGTACGCTATAATCTCCATTTACATTTTCTACATAGAAATATAGATTGTGTACACGTGTCTGATTATCAGCATGTAAGTGCTCTGGTTTCATTTTGTACATATGGAGTCCGAGATGCATTGACCAATCACGTATCAAAATGCTTTGGTGTATACTGGAGAAACACTGTGTGGACAGTAAAAAAACAAAGCGGAACGTTATCCTACCTACGTAATGAAATACCAGCAACCATCAGCGGTTATCTAAAGAATAGGCTAAAGTGAAAAGAAAGGATTCCTCTACAGTATATGGTATTACTTAGACAAAACGGAATAAAACAAAGAACGGTAATTAATTGATGTCTATAAACAGATATCTGGATAAATGTGCAGCTAACAATCCACTCTGGATCGAACATCTCTAATTCAGCAACAAACTTGCTTGACGCTGTGTTAAAGCCAATTAGTGTTAAGATTTCACAACTACCACAAATGCATCAGAAGGGATCAGTCCGATCTCAATTACAAAAATCAAGCCTTTTAAAAGTTATTTTCTTCGTCTCTTGACGACAGATCTGAAAAAGCTTGCATTTTTACTTTTTACAAATCTGCATCATTATATTCTTATTATAACATTATTCCTGTTAACGACATTAAGTAAATCACGAGAAAAGCCTTTTTCTTTTGTGGGCTTATCCCATTTGAGTGAGTCAGAGAAATGTGGTCATGTAACTTGTAGTCTGCTGTTGAACTGAGACTCAATCTAGACATTATGGACCAAAGAATGGCTGTGTTAATGTTGCACATGTAAATGCCACACTGAAAGGAATTGTGCCTGGATATCTTTAACTGTGCGCTTCACCGGAATTATGGATAAATTAACATCCATTCCAGAGGCGTATCATCTGTCAGATGGTGAAAGATGATGAATGCTGAAGGTTCTGAGATTTTGTTAGAAAGATTGCTGACATGACACAAAAATCAATCAATAATGACATTTGTTTTGTTTGTTCAGAGACCTTGGAGAGACGGAAGAAGCTGATATCCACCCTCAAAGAAAGATTTAAAAACAACATTCAAGATGGAGACATCAATCATTCTAACCAGACAGACACAGAACACATCACGAGAGAGGAGAAAAGTATTGAAACCAATGATGGAGAGAAAAACGAACGTACGGTGGCAACATCAGTGACTCAAGTGACTGCAGTATCTGATATCTTCAAAGATACAAATGAAAAAACAATAAGAAATGTGCTGACTACTGGTGTGACTGGTATTGGGAAATCTTTCTATGTGAGAGATTTGTAAAAGAGTGGGCTAAAAATACCAACAGCTCAGTTTCTACGTGGCTTTTAGATTCCAAGGGGGCCGAGCCAAAACTCATGATGAAGAAGTTATATTTCCACTTGACCTCTCTAAACTTAATTTGATTAGAGAGAAAAAAGTCAGCTTGTTTGAACTACTTAACCATTTCTTTAAGGAAACTCAACAAATAGTCATCTCTAACTTTGAACAGTTCAAAGTTCTGTTTGTCCTGGATGGACTGGATGCTTTTCAAACAGCTCTTGACTTTGACAACAAGGACACCGTGACTGATGTGAGGGAATCAGCTTCAGTAAATGTGTTACTGACAAACCTCATCAGAGGATCTCTGCTTCCTTCTGCACGGATCTGGATAACCTCCCAACCTTCAGCTGCCAAACACTTGCCTAACAACTTTGTTGACAGGAGGACAGAAATAAGATGTAAGCTTACTGGTGCTGAATATGGAAATACAATACAAACATACATAAAGGAGAATATACTATTCAGTTATGGATTAAGTACTGACAAACATAGTTGTAGAATTAAACAACAGAACAGAGAAAGAAGGTTTAAACATATTAAGTGATAATAAAGCAATCGTATAATGAAATACGAAAAAACATCCATCCAGTACATGTTGGTGTTTGTGCCTATCCTGTTATTCAGCAAGATATCATGCTCATTAATAGTGGTTTATGAATTGCAGTAAAATTGCATCCCAAATTGTAATCATGTTAAGTGGCTAGTGTTTCTCCAAAGTAATGTTTTTTTTTTCCACAGATAAGCCTGATCTTGCAAGTAAATGGGAACTCAAATCTCAGCTGACGGAGCAATTTACTCATGTGACAATGGGGGTGGACATGCAGAAAACATCTGCTCTTCTAAATGAAATCTACACAGATCTCTACATCATAGAGGGGGAAAGAGGAGAGGTCAATATTCAACATGAGACCGTACAGATTGAAGGTGCCAAGTTCAAACCAAAGGAAACATCCATTAAGTATGATACCATCTTTGAACCAGCAGTAGGAAAACCTAAGAACATTAAATCTGTGCTAACAACTGGAATGGCAGGCATTGGAAAATCATTTGCCACCATGAAATACATGCTGGACTGGGCTGAGGATACGTCGCACACGGACATTTTCTTTATGTTTCCGCTGTCTTTCCGCGAGCTGAATTTGAGAAAAGATGAAATGCACAGCTTGGAGGAACTCATTTATAGTTTCTTTCCAGGAATGAAGACATCAGAAATAGAAGATTATGACAAGTATAATATCCTGATTGTCCTGGATGGTTTCGATGAGTGTCGCCTTGATCTCGACTTCAATGAAAGTGAAGAGTGTACAGATGTGAAAAAGCAAACCTCTGTGAAAGTTCTGCTGACAAACCTCATCCTAGGCAATCTGCTTTCTAAAGCCCAAGTCTGGATCACCTCCAGACCTGCAGCATCCAACAGTATCCCTGCTGGTAAAGTTGACCGTGTTACAGAGGTGCGAGGATTCAATGATGACCAGAAAGAGGAGTACTTCAGGAAGAGATTTGATGATAAAGATTTGGCTGAGAAAATCTTGTCACATGTCAAGACTTCAAGAACCGTTTACATTATGTGTCACATCCCTGTGTTTTGCTGGCTGACATCAACAGTTCTGGAGGACTTTGTGGAAAGAAAAGAAGTCGGGAAGATGCCCAGCACTCTGACTGACATGTACATACACTTTGTTTTGTTACAATGCAGACAGGCGAATGTGAAGTATGGCACAGATGAGACAAGTAAGAATTCTGAGCCAGATTCATGCTGGAACACAAGCAACAAGACCACAGTTGTTTCTCTAGGGAAGTTGGCTTTTGAAGGGCTCGAGACAGGAGACCTTGTCTTCACTGAAGAAACATTGACAGAGTGCGGTGTCAACATCACAGAGGCTGCAGTCTTCTCAGGCATCTTTACCCAGATTAAACGAGAACGCCATGGGCTGTACCAACAGAAATTGTTCTGCTTTGTCCATCTGAGTATTCAAGAGTTCATGGCAGCTTTCTATGCATTTCACACATTCAGTGACAAAAATGTAAATCTGCTTGCCAAACCCCCTTCAACAGACACAGATGTGCCTGAATCAGACTTTTACAGGACAGCAGTAGACAAGGCCTTAGATAGCAGAAATGGAAACTGGGATCTGTTTCTTCGCTTCTTGCTTGGCCTTTCTCTGGAGACAAATCAAACTCTCCTGAAAGAGCTGCTGAACAAGACAGAAAATAACAAGGAGACCAATGAGAAAACAATTGGATACATCAAAGAAAAGATAAGGGAAGAGAACAGTGATGCTGATCAAAATTTCAATCTTTTCCACTGTCTGAATGAGCTGAATGACCAGTCTCTTGTGAAAGAAGTCAAAAAGTACCTTAAGTCAGAAACAAGCCACATTTGAAAACTTCACCACATCCCAGTGGTCGGCTCTAACCTTTGTACTGCTGACTTCAGATGAGAAGCTGGATGTGTTTGATCTAAAAAAGTACCGCAAATCAGAGAAAGTACTTCTGGGAATGTTGCCGGTCGTCAAAGTCGCCAAAACTGCTATGTAAGTACTTCGCAATGCCCCCTCTTAATAACCTGAAAACATGAGAAAACTGATTAAATTGCTCTAGTGACTTTTTTGACCTTGCCATAGCTTCTATTTTTGATAGAGTTTCTAATTAACAAACACTTCCACAGGCTAAGTTGGTGTGAGCTCACTGCAGAATCATGCAAAGGTCTCTTATCCTCAGTCCTCAACTCTGCATCCTCTAACCTCACCGAGCTGGACCTGAGTCATAACGACCTGTTGGATACAGGTGTGAAGCTTATTGCAGAAGGCCTGATGAGTTTACATTGTAAACTGGAGATTCTCAAGTAAGTGTGCATTGTACGCCGGGCCGCTGACTGGGAACCAGGAAAAGTTGTTGGCCGGATTTGGTTACCAGAAGGGGCTGGTTGGAGCTCTGTGACGCTTAGCATTGACTCTCTGTGGTGTTGGGCAATGTAGGCTCCAGGGCAGCTGCCATGGGAAGCTGAGGAGCTGGGGCAGTGGGCATCATAGGCTCTTGGATAATGGGCAGCTGTACCTCTGGGGTAATTAGGTTAACAAAGTTGGTTAAAATAACTTAATGCATGGTTTTATTTAAGGATTAAACAACCTTTCCAAATTGTTACACTGAGCATATTAAACTATGTGGAATCATAATTACAACAATTCTTCATCTACTTGAACCACATAACTCTAACCTGTGTGTGTGTGTGTGTGTGTGTGTGTGTGTGTGTGTGTGTGTGTGTGTGTGTGTGTGTGTGTGTGTGTGTGTGTGTGTGGTCTGCAGATTGTCAGGTTGTCAGGTGACAGAAGAAGGCTGCTCTTACCTGGCCTCAGCACTCAAGTCCAATAAGGCCTCCTCCCTGAAACATCTAGATCTAAGTTACAACCACCCTGGATGCAACGGGGCAGCTGTGCTGTCTGCTATAGCTGATGATCAAGATATGAGCTTGAAGACACTCTGGTATGTGTAGATTTTTGTTTGGAAAATGTCTCTTAATGTAATCACATTACATTCAAACAGTTGTCTTGAGTAACTTTAGATAGTGTTCCCAATTGTTTTCATTTTATTTTGATGCCAAGAATGAGTAGTCTGTTGCTTGTCTTATTTCTTAGTTAAAAATATATTTACTATATTTAAGCCTAAACTCATTATTTCCTGTTTGTACAGCTTGGACCACTGTGGAGAGCATCGCTTGAAGCCAGGGATAAAGAAATGTAAGTCTTTTTTGGAACTGATTGCTAATAATGAATTACTTTAGTACCTGTACTATTAGATCTTAAACTTATGCCTCATCAGTTTGAAATACATGTTAGATGATGAGCCGTTGTCAACATACTATGATTTAATATATTCCAAGTATTATGTTTGGATTTGTCCTATACAACATATTATTTTATAGGCTTTTAACCTTAAACCACTACAAAATAAAGAAAATCCCTTATTCATATGTTCTTTCATTCTGTGACAGATGATGGAGATCTGAAGTTTGATGAAAACACAGTAAACAAGAGGCTTGTTCTGTCAGAAGGAAACAGGACAGTGAAAACAATAAAGCCGGAGGAGAAAGTGGAACGACCAGAAAACGAGTACAGGTTCAAAAGATCTCAAGTGTTTTGTGAGGAGAGCCAGAGGGGCCTCTGTTACTGGGAGGTGGAGTGGAAAGGGACTGTTGGCATTGCAGTAGCATATGGAGGAGTGGGTAGGAAATGGGACAGTAAGTGTGGCTTAGGATGCAATGACATCTCATGGAGTCTGCTCTGCTCCAAGGATGGATACACTGCCAGACATGGAAAGACATCCAAACATATTACAGCTCCTGATCTGTTTTCCCAAAAAATTGCTGTGCTTTCTAGATTGGGAAGCTGGAACTCTGACTTATTACAGTGACATATCAGGAGAGCTGAGCCTCATACACACCTTCCATGCCAACTTCACAGAACCACTCTATGCAGGCTTTTGGTTTAAGAGGGGCTCTGTGACTCTTTGCAAGATAGACAAAACCCCTCTGCGATGGAGTGCAGTCAAGCCTCAAAGTCAAAAGCTGACGAAAAAGCTAAAGCGAAAGTGCTTAAATCATCAGCACCTAAAGGGGCAACTCGAGGCTGGCTGTAAAAGTGAACAAGTCCTCATTGATGCCCATGATCATGGCATTGCATCTCAAGCCACCTTTTCCTAACCTGAATCATTTTGTTACCATGAGTGAAAAATATGCAGATTTTTTTATCAGAACTACACGAAGAAAATAGGGGCCAATTTTAATTGCTCTAAAATAATTGTAAAAAAATGAAATTTTGAAATTGTGAAAAGTTTTAATCTGGTTACTTGTAGTTCCACAGCACTGAGACTGCTCAGGAACAATACAAATTACCTTTTAGTTTGTGCTTATGAAGGCATGTGGTCAGTCCATGTACTCAGTGCAGCCTTTTTCACCATTAATCACGACATCCTATAGAACAGACTGAGGCCTTGGATAAGGGTATAGTATATAGTACAGCCTTAGAGTGTATGATATCTTTTCTGATGGACAGAAGTGTCCCTTTGTCTCTGAACAATTAGCCCATGTGTCTGCTTTTTCTTGTGTGACGTATGGTGTACCTCAGGGATCATTTTTGGTACCAATTTTATTTTCATCATCCATGCTTCCTGGGGAACATCATATATAAACATCGGGTCTCTTTTCATTTTTATGCAGATGATACTGCATTTTACCAGCCCAATTCATCCACAGACCCTGGTATGCAGAGTTCTGTTAACAACTACCTTTATGAGTCTGAGAGCTCACAAAGAAACTCACAAGACACTTTTGCGTAAAATATGATTTTAATTGGACCACAGCACATGACAAAGCAAATACTGCCATCTGCTGGTCTCTATTAGATCGAACCTGTCACAGAGTTCTTGGCATGTTGTTTGATCTTTTTTTCTCTCATCTCATTATGCCTCGATTACTGTAAGAGCTTTTTTGCCACCCTGAAACAAAATCAGTTGTACAGAACTCAGCTGTGAGGCTTTTAACCAGACCAGAAAATATGACCACATCACCCCTGTAGCCTCTCTATGATGGCTCCCAGTATATTTATTGATTACTTTTAAGGCCCTTCTGACTATAACTCAGTCCTTTTACTGCAATCTGGCTGAAGTATAAAGAGGACAGAGTGTTTGCTGCGAGTGCTCCGAAGTTTGGAATGATCTGCATTAGGAGATCAGGTCAGCTGAAAAAGTTTGAGTTCCTAATTAAAACATTCTGAAAGTATTTTCTGATTTTACTAAGGTATAATGTTTTGAATTGCATGTCTTAGAAAATGGAAATATTTAGTTCGTATTCTTTCTTTTGCTTATGATTTCATGGCCTGCCCATTTTATTTTGCTGCCTGTGAAGCTCTGTAACTTAGATTTTTTAAAAGAGCTCTACACATAAATGAATAAATAAATAGATGTTATTACTATGGCAGCTGTCCGTGATCTTGAACAGTTTAATATATTTTATGTAACAATGCATGGACATTGGTTGGTCTGTAATAATAAATGCTTAGTGTGTATCTTTAAGCCAAACTGTACTCTAGTAGTAGGGCATGGTTGCATCCTCTGCTGCACAGAGATCATATGTGAATATAATAATTTCTGATGTTTGTGTTTTTATACCTGTAAATAAACTAATGCAAAAAAAAAAATCAAACTGACCATTAAGTGCATTTATGTTTGTGTTTACATAACTGTGTTTGCTGTTTGTACAGTTCTACGCTTATTTTATTGAATCCAAGATACTTGGAACTGTGACCAGTTCAAAACTATCCTAAATACACAGGGTGGATTATTCAACATTCAGTCATAACCATAGCCTACATGATTTTAATACCATACACACATACAGACTTTCAACTATTTGTCACATTAAATGTAAGTTTTTGACAGCCAAATGTTGAAGTCTGTGTGGATGTGTGTGAGCATCTGAATGTAGACGGTAATGAATTACACCCGTGAAAAACAGCTTGAATGAAAGCTTTAGCGAGAAAAGGGAGGGGGGGGAAATGACTACTGAAAGGAAACATCCAAGACAATGTAGCACCCAGCAAACTCAAGGCCTCTTCACACAGGCTTCCTCATTGCTTCTAAAAACCTAATTCTTGACCAACACTTTGAAGAGGCTTAAGAACTAGTTCGTTCCGGGTCCACATCAGAGACCCTTAAAAACAACAGGCCTGTTTGATACATTCAGGATCTGTCCCTTTTCGGCTTCTGTCCCCTCTATTATCTGCTGCTGTTAAGTGACATTCCTCATTCAGAGCGCCTCTCAGTCCTTCTGCCTCTGTAGATTTGTTTAGAGCAGAGAGCTGTGTGTGCTAGCTGAGAGTTACATGAATGAGTGTTTGTGTGAGTTTACTGAAAGGGGACCAGGGACTGTGTGCATGTGTGGATGTCATTGGTTAAAAACTACAAAGAAAGCACGAACAAAGAAATATTCTGTTCAAGTATTCAAAGTGATTGATTAAATGGTTTTGCTGTTGGTGTTTTCAAACTTTTCGATAACTCTGTCATGTCATGGAAGCATTTATCATATTTGATTGGCCAATTAGAGCAACCAAAAACAGCTGTAAAACCTTTGTTTTTCTGTAAAAAAATATCACAGATGTAAGGACTTCTGACCAAACAGAAAGGAAACGGGACTTTAAAAACTGCTGACTCCGCTTACATTATCAAACGCATTTTGGCTTTATCAAATTACAAACCATGTTTCGGTGGGAAATTATATCTTCACTAAAGAGAAAGTTTAAAAAGAATTAAAATGAAGTTAAAGCAAACTCCAAGACACAACGAGTAGCCTAATTCAAGTTATACAATCAATTTTGATTAAACTATTAAGTTACAAGGTTTTGTGATTGTGAGGAAGTTGGAGTGTATGCAGTGTTGAGTGTGTGTTTGTGTGTGTGTGTGTGTGTGTGTGTGTGTGTGTGTGTGTGTGTGTGTGTGTGTGTGTGTGTGTGTGTGTGTGTGTGTGTGTATGTCTACAACACAATACAATACAAAAAACTGGCAAAAAAGGCAGTGTGCAGGCCAGGGAGTGAGCTCAAACAACTCAAACCATAATTATTTTTTGGGGGGGATTTAGTAAGCACAATTTCAGTTGAAACACATCCAACAAGCAAATAAAATGTTCTGCTTTGGTAGCCTAACAGGAGAAAAACAAAAATATATATTAGTTTAGTTTATTAGTTTATTTGAATCAGGGACAGTGTACAGAAAAAAAATCTCAGTAGAGAAGAGATGCTTTGTACCAGATTTAGCTAACTAGCTTATTTCCATCTGTTGTCTGTAATCAGAAAAGAATACAAATGTTTATAATAAAAAATGACCCTTGTGAAATGCATTGTACCCTTTTTAATTAGACTATTGGTTATGAACTAATTATTGGGTTTGTATATATTTATATGAATTGTGCTTCATTCTCTTACTTTTTATAATGCTTGTCAAACACTACTTTAACCTGCTCATCTTACTTCACTTCCATGCTCTTCATTCTCTTAAGTTTGAAGTCATATCATTATGAACTTAACTTATCCACACACACTCACATGCACATCACCGAATTCCCCTCTGTGATTAATAAAGTATTTCTGATTCTGATCAATTAACGTGTTCTGAGCTGTCTTGAGTAGCGCCTTCGGGACTCCAATACAGCAACGCCTCATTTTCAAAATGTATTATTTGCAGACAGTGATAATTGCAAACAATGTAAAAAAACGGATGATAATCAATCCGTGTTGTTATCTGTCCATTTATAAATTGGAAAGTGTCTTTGGAGTAGCCACAGTCAGGCAGCAACTAGTCTTTGTATACATCTCTGTTTTTTCCAAAAATAATTTCTAACCAAGAGAGCATTTTCCTCATGCATTCACATATTATCGTCTGCCTGTAAATGTTCACCATTTGGACATAGACCAAACAGATAAAAAACTGGTCCATGAGTTAGACCAAAGCAAAAAAAACAATACAGGGCTCGAAACAGTAGGTCTTATCACTGAACAGTTACCCCTGTGATTATCAGAGGAATCAGAGTGGATGAAATTAAACTTACTGAGCCAGTTCATAGTTCCTTTAATTGACCCAAGACTCAGCATAACAATGTTGTTGCTTATTTTACTTTGAAAGGGTATTTGTATCGAAGAACCTTTACACTTTCTACCAAAGGGTATGTTCTCTTAGCAGCCCCTCTTGTTGACTTGGTTGGTCCCACAAAGAGAAGGGTAAGAATATTACAGAGACAGACACACATGGGAAACTCGATGTGGGCTGTAGAGTTGTCCTTAACAGCTGACTTTCTCTCTGTGTCCTCTTCTCGCTTAAAGGCTAAAGTCATTGCTAAATATTTGAACTTTTCAGTCTCTCTAAATATTAACCTGAGCATTCAGATCAGTGATTTGTGACTTAACTGTCAGTTCCTGTGCGTCTCTTTTTCCCCGTCTGTTTGATACCCTGACGTGAACCCTATTCACCAGTGGGGTCAACTATGTGAGGTGTGCTGGGTTCACGTTGTGAGGCACATCAGAGCTGCTTAAACAGTGCACAGAGAGCAGCAATGGCACCATGATTTCTTCAGCTGCACTAAAACAAGTCAAGTATTTAAACATTTCCACTCCGACATGTTGTGAATGCGGGGAAATAAGAGCTTTCAGCACCCTTCACTTCCACCACTCCGTATCTATGCCCTGCAGCCTGCACAGACAAAGTGGATTAGACTCTGATAGCAGCTTTTCAGGTATCACATGTTTGTGAAATAATGTGTGTGTTTGTGTGTGTGCATGTGTATCCTAGCTGTCATTTAATCCATCCTCAGGTTGCCCTGCTCCTGCACCCCGCATGTCCACTCTGCCTCTCACAGACCAATCACATTCCACATTCCTCCACCTTCCCAGGATCCCAGGGACCCAGGGTGCATGGCTGTAGGGCGTTACCATGGCGTTGGGGTGATGAGGTCACCCCCCTTTGGTACTCCGGTGGTGAGATGAGAGCCGATAGGAGGGGGTAGAGAGAGACAGAGAGAGAGAGAGAGAGAGAGATGGGGGAAAGGAGAAAGAGCTAATCAAGACCCACTAAGTACCCAAGCATAACATTGCCTAACATACATACCCTTAATCCTGAACCTACTTTCCTACTTAACCCTTAAACAAAGCCCTAACCCCGAAACGGCCCTTTTGGGGATATCAGGGCTGTTTAAAAAAAAATATATTATTTAAAATATATTTAAAAAATGTATTTTCTGTTCCAAAAATAACCCTTCCCTCAAAAACGTACATTTGTCCCACAAAGTTTGAGCTACAAGAGCACACACACAAAACGTAGGCTACATTTAAAGTCTTTCATTTGGTATTTACTTGCACCTCTGTCCTTGCTCAGATCGCCAATGAGAGACGTTCCCCAAGACTTTGTCCTTGTTTATATACAGTCAATGGCAGCTGCCCATAAACCGCTATTTAAAATGAGAAATATACTGTATGTATGTTAGAGTCAGAGATCTCCTTTAAAGGGTGTTAAACAACAGAGCTGCAGTAAAGACAAGGAGGAGGATGGGCAAAACCAAAACACTACAACTATGTAGTTACTATGTAGTATTATCTCAACATATATCATATGTAAGGGATCCTGAGGGGAAAACATTTGCATCACTTTTGTTCAACGTCTTCAAACTTTAACATCCTTAAATCTTCATCTGTTTTGAGGAAAGAGCGTAAACAAGTTTAGATAACAGGGAAACCCACTACTGCCACAGGGAGCAGCTTTGAAGGGTTCTTACCAGAACCAGAAACCTTAACTGGCTAATTGTTAACAGTCATTCTACTATTGCTTTCCTTTTTTGTCCTTAGCCTTGCAAAATATTATTGAATTTGCAAAACATGCTGATCCACTTGAAGTGAGATAACTACTGTCTTAAATACTTCATCCAAGAGTGTCCAGGAAGCACATGTTCAACACCTTTAAATTCTCACTGAGAGATAAAGGGGTGAAGTGTGCATGGCAGAAACTTTTGGGTTGAATCCAGAGAAGCACTTAAAGGGTCAGAAGAGTTGACACAGCAACTCAATCTTTCTGCCTCTCCTCTCCTTGTTTTTAGTCAGTCTAGACTAATACAGTCCTAGTCCTGCCTGAGGTAACCAGTAAAGCATGAGACAGGCTCCAATATGTCCAAAACTCCGCTTCCAGATTCCACATCCACACCAAGCCCTGGCAGCACATCACCACAACCCTCATCCACCTCCACTGGCTCCCAATAAGATCTCAAATCAAATAGAAAATACTCCTCCTCACTTATAAATCCCTCCATGCCTTAGCCCCTCAGTACGTCTCCGACCTCCTACCTCGCCCTGAAACCTCCTGTCCTGGGACACTGGCCTGCTCTCCATACCACACACCAGACTCCCCGCCTATGGAGACAGGACCTTCAGTGTCACAGCCCCCCACCCTCTGGAAGACCCCCCCTCAAACATTACCAATGCCTCGTCTTTGGACTCTGGATTGAAAAACTTTCTCAAACACCATCTGTTCTCCACAGCCTACAACCTCCCTTATCTCTGCCTCTCCGGGGCGCCAGTAGCGTAGCGGTTAGTGCACGACCCATGTGCGGAGGCCGCCTGGGTTCGAATCCGAGCTGCGGCTCCGTTCCTGCATGTCATTCTTCTCTCT